TTTGCATTCGGTGTTCCATATGAGCCTGTTGAAAAAAGATCCTGGCTCTTCTCCATGGAGACCCTCTGTTACTCCCCCTCCGCCTATTCTCCTTGAGGGGGATGAACATTTTGAGATTGCTGGTATCTTGGATTCCAGACTTAAACGTGGTAAGCTCTGGTACCTCATCGAATGGATTGATTTCGGACCCCAGCACCGCGAATGGGTGGAAGTAGGGGATATTCGGGCCCCTTACCTGCTTCGTGAATTCCACAGGAAGTTCCCGGACAAACCGGGAGGTCTCCCGCCCAAACCGGGAGTTCTCCCGCCCTGCCCGGGAGACGGTGGTTAAAGTGTATTTTTGAGGGGGCAGTATGTCAGCAAGCTGCCATGGTGTTCTGTGTTGGTTGTATCTCTGTACCGTTGCTCACCCCCCCCTGCCTGTACGCCTGTATTTTACTCTGCTGTAATGCCTAAGCCAAACAACTGGAGGATGTATTGGGGGAGTATGCTTTACTGCCAGCTTGTTGCTTTTAGAGCCTGGGAACTGCACCTGTATTATGTCTGGAGATAGCTTGGTTCTCAGGGAATGAGCGCGTAACCGTTTCCTTTCACCCGCCAGCGGGAAAGTGCCCCATTGGTCCTGTACCTGGTTCAAATCCCTTTATCTTGTTTGCCCTAACCGTTTGTAGTCAGTTCTAACAAAGAACGTGTTTGAGTGTCTTTCCAATGCTTTGAAATAAATTTTGCTTTTCTTCAAAACGTGGATTTATTCTCGATGCTTGGGGATCCAACAGACGTCACACACAATGCTCTGGTATTTGGTCAAAAACTCTATGGGATTTTTACTTCAAAACCATAGAGTTTGCTAAAAAACCAGAGCATTGCGTGTGATGTTGCCGACACGATGACATCACTTCTGGGTGACATCATCACATTGGGGATGTCACCTGATGTCCCTATTTGGGGGTGGGGTTTCCCCTGCCCGCCAGCCCCTAAAAGCCCCCCCAAATGGGGGAAACCCCACTAGGACCTGGGGGTGGCAACCCTATTCAGTGGCCATGATCAAGGTGAACTGATCCCAGATATGGCCCATTCTAGGCTTGCCAACTGCCAGGTAGAGCCTGGAGATCTCCTGGAATTACAAATGATCTCCCAACTACAGCAATCCGTTTCCCAGGAGAAAATGGCTGTTTTAGAGGGTAGACACTATCCTCCATGTAATGTATTGAACGTGTTACATGAATCACTCCATTGGCATCCTATGTTAAGCTTGAGCCGAACAAAGGCTCCTCTGAACTGAACTCCTATTGGTCACTCTGCAACAGTGACCAATCAGAACAGCCACTATTCCCTGCGAGGGAAGTAAGCTCATTGGCCTTTATCCAAACAACCTCATTGGTTGATTATTGTAAATAGGTGTGGCTATGTTAGCCCGGGAATGTTTAAAAGGAGCCTAGCTCCCAATTGTTCCTCGTTCTGGTTATGAATGCGTTTAAGTGCTTGCTCGTTACTTCAATAAAACTGGATCACTTTTTGCTGAAATCACTCTCGATCTAACACCACACACCCTTCCCTTCCCATAAATCTCCAGGAATTTCCCAACATGCTGATGGCCATCCTAGGTCAACCAGATTCTTTTGTAATGGTTTACTACTTCAGACAAGACATGGGAGGCTTCCAGCTGTACCAGATGGGCCTAGAATCCATCACATTGGTTTACACGGTCTTCAAAGACATTGATCCATATTACAGTCATACTGTGCATTCAATCAATATGTGGGGACTCTAGTTCGTTAGCCTCCCTAGTTGAAACTGAGGCTGCTGTGGAAACATAAAGATAAATCAGGGGAAAAAAATATGGCCGGATGCTGTTGTGTTGTACTGATCAACGAGGTCCAGTGAACCGAATGTAAAACCTGGTTATTGTCCATCACAAGGGTATAGGTTTGCCAGCCCTAGGGTTGCCAACTCTGGCTGGGGAATTTCCTGGAGATTGGGGGGTGGGGTGGAGCCTGGGGAAAGCAGGATTTGAGGAGGAGAGAGAACATCCTCCAGCTATGGTGCCTAAGCTTGCCAAGTCCCCCCGGGGGGCGGGGAAACCCCCACCCCAGAGGCCCGTTCCCTGCCGCCGGCGGATCGGGCCCCGGGGGGAACCCCACCCCCAAAGCACATGACGTGCACGTCACCCGGAAGTGACGCGACCACGCTGGGCACGCTGGGGGCGGGGCCACGGTCATCCGAGGGAAAACAGTGGTCGCATCACTTCTCGGTGACATGGTTGCGGCGTGTGCGCGAAAAGCGTGCACACACACACTCCTGAGGCAGCTCTGGAGTCCCCCGCTCCAGCGCCACTTCTGACTTGGTAACCCTAATGGTGCCTTAGAGTCCAACCTCAAAAGAAGTGACTGATCTCTGTAGTTTGGAGATCAGTTGTAATTCCAGGAGATCTCTAGGCCCTAACTGCTAGGCGGTAACTCGAGGACGACTTCCTCACTGAGGGCTGCAGTACCCTGAGGAAAAATAACAGCAGGACCCTGCAGATGCTGTAAAAGACAAAGCCTTGCAAAGAATTTCTGTTTAAACTTGGTACATCCCCTGAGACATTTCCTTGTACTCCCTCTGACTTCTCTAAAGTGAACAGATTTCCAGGTATCAGACTTGGGTACACTTTACTAGGTTCTGTTTTGACCATGCTATTGCCACATCACATCCAAAGAACTCTGGATTCCTCATTAACAGGGCCTGGTTTTTTGGTTGCACCAAGGGAGACGTTGTGAAGATGCAGAACAGGACGAGGATCCGGCCTTCTTCAGTCCCACGGGAAAGTAGTATTCATGCCCCACATTTTCTCCTGATAAACCCGGTCAAAGTATTTGTTCTGTGGCACTGTTAGGTGGTTCTTCCAGTCCCCGCAGATTCCTAAAACAACACATGAGGCTAAGAACGAGGACAACGTATATTGTCCTCACTGAGCATTTGACCACTTGCATTACCTTCTGAACAATGCACTCTCTAAGCTGTGGAGTCCTAGAGCAAAAATTCTACTTTGTGCGCTACTGGCATTAAAGTTGTGAGCAAGCGATTTGGCTACTGCATAAATTAGTTTGCCCTGGAGCCATCCTTCCTGAGCTAAGATAAAAATGTGTGAGCCGGAGGCTAAAAAACTGTGAACTAGCTCACACTAACTCTGCTTAGAGGGAACACTGCTTCTGAGTGCTCCTCAAGACTTGATTCAAACATTTTAGTTCTGGCATGGTACAGACCCAGTTCCATATGACCCAGCCTCCGCCTATGCTCCTGCTGCAATTGCACAGTTCTGTTGCATGACGGCCACATGAACACAGTAAATGAACACACACGTAAGCACATAAGTCACACCAGACCTTCCTTAAGGCTCCTCTTTTACCTTTCCTCATAAATGTCCCTCTCTTGTGGTCCATCAAATGATCCGGTATCAGGGAGAAATTTGACATCTTGTTCTCCTTCATCTTCCGGAAAGAGGCATATTCCACCACGGAATCAATTTGCTGGCTATTGAGCTCTTTCCCAAGGAAGTGGCAGATCTTCTCCACGCTGCCTCGAAGGTCCTGGGAATGAGAGAGGCAGATGGCAGAGAGTCTGAAGGTAAATTCATGTAATGGGAGTTCTGCACCCTAACATTTGGCACACTGCAGCAATTGGTGCCATTTTCCAGGATGTTCAGTTCTTTCTATTTGACAGTCAACTGACCTTTTCCAATAATATTATTTGTATATGTTTGGTTAACAAATCTCCTTTAACATCCTGGATCTAGTCTCAATGGCTGCATTTGAGAAAAGAAATCCCCTGTTTCTGTGATACATACATTTTCCTGAGCAACAAAAGATAACCAGATCTTCTTGCTGGCCTGGACAGCTGATGGAAGCTGCAAGATAATGGCAACTCTGTAGAGATCTATAACATTCTAAACTAAGGAGCCTGCCTTATATTTAACAGCAGATAGGGCATGTATAGAGGGAGGGACAGAGGAATTCCATTTTACCCTTTTCTTTTTAAACAGTTTCTAGCCCAAAATGTAATAGTGTATCAATCTTATTCCAATATGGATCTGCCCTGGGGCAATGCCACCACATGTGTATGAAGTCCAATGGTATAAAAGTATAGTGCCAAGAAGCTCCTGAACAAGATGTATACATTTTAGCCATCATGTTTAGGGTAACATAGAACTGGTGAATCATTTTAAACATAGTTTCTTTAAAGGTCAGACGTACAGGATCCGAAATATAGAGCACCTTTCCATAATTCTTCTACAACACCATATCCCAAGCATGACTCCATCTTGCAGTAAAGTTTGACATACCAGTCATTACAGGTATGGTGAGCTAACCATAAAGCTTAGAGAAGGTGTGACTTTGAGGCTGAATTAACGGCATAGCTTCTAGGTGACTGCTTAGGTCACCATCTTGGATCCTTCCTGCTAACCAGAGCCAGCCTCACTTGGCTTATGAGATCCAACAATATCATGAGAGCCTGGGTAACCCAAGTCAGGGCAGTATCCCTTTTAGCAGATTATCATTATTAAAGCTTGTCTGTATGTGAGAGATAAACAGTTCTAATTGTAGCAGCAGGGAGCATAGCTTCTAGGTTCCTGCTCAGGTCACCATCTTAGATCCTTCCTCCTTTTATTTTTTACTTTTTACTCTTCTGAGGAAGGAACTTTGTTCATCCTCAGAGACACTCAATCCATGGTGACAGAATATCTTGAGCAGGGCTATTTTTGGGCAGGAACGCACAGGAACGGAGTTCTGGCTGGCTCCCAAGTTGGCCACGCCCAGCAGGAACTCATTAGCATAATAGGCCACACCCAACAGCAGAAACTCATTAGGATTGGCTACGTTAGGGGTGTGTGGCCTAACATGCAAAGGAGTTGCTGCTACAAGAAAAGCCCTGGGTTTTGACAACAAACAGGGTAAACAGAATAAGAAGGAAAAGGTGGGCGTGGCTGGATGAGCACACTTCTGGTAACATGGGGGTGTGGCCTAATATGCCAAATGAGCTGTGCTGTCAGGGGTGTGGCCTAATATGCTAATGAGTTTCTGCTGTGGGGTGTGGTCTATTATGCTAATGCGTTCCTGCTGGACTTTTTCTACAAAAAGAGCCCTGACTTGAGAGAAAACCTAGCACCATTATAAGCATAGGTAACTGTATGAACGTGAAGATGGCCAAGGCTGGGACTATACCTGCCACAGCTCTTCATAGGTGATGTAGAAAAAGTTGGGCCTTCCTTTCAGCGCCATCCAACCCTTCACATGATCAAACCAGGAACCATAGGCCACTAGGAGAGAAGAGCAGGGAGAGAAAAGGACCAGTTATAAGGGAACTACAATACAACACAATACAACACCTTTATTGGCATATAAGACAATAAATAAATTACTTCATCAGGTATCCTTACACCTGCCTTCTTAAAACACATCAATATTTAAAATAACTCCTTGCTGTCAAGATCTTGGTCAAAAATGCAGCAATTTGAGCAGTAACTTCAGGTGATAGGGACCTAATTACATTGTTGGAATTAATCCTAGGCAGTATGGGCTTAATCCAAAGTAATCGAAGATGTGAGTGGAGGGGGCAGCATAATAAGATGTGGGATACCTCTATATCAACCTGAAACCCAAGATGAGGGGGAAACATTAAATCTGGCTAGCATAAAGGCTCTGCGTTGCAGCGGGATCACCAAGTTAGAAAAGTATTGTGCCGTACTATTTGGTACATATCTGAGACAGAGGGAAAGGGGGGGAGCAAGTCTCCCCGGCACCAGACTGGATTATTTGGGCTTCAATGTCCCAGATTCTTCTACGGATTGTCCGGTATATGAAACTCTCATCTTGATTTTCCAAGATGTCCAGATCAATGCCAATTAAACCTATTTTGGAGGCTATAGCCTGTGACCACTTGGATACATATGGATCCATAGTTAAGAGTGCAATAAGGCTATTCTGAGGGGCACTAAAATGGATGTGAAACCCAGGAGGAGACAAGGGGTTACTCTCTCTGCCACTAGTGAGGATGTGTGATACAACTGATAATACTGACTTGGGGTCCCTCCATATCTTCTCCCTTCAAGCTCCTGTCAACCTTTGACTGTGGATGGCCTCATTTGGCTACCTTCATGAATGGCATGAGGTAGCCACTTTAGTATTTGTTTTAGTGACAGAAAAACAGAGCATTCTCAGAATGCTGACAGCAAATCCCCAGTTTCCCAGGATTCCCTGAGGAAAACCATGGCCACCAAGTAATATTCTTTATAGGTATCTCTGGCCCCTGGTTCAAGGAAAGGGAACTCCCCTGAGGAACAGTGAAATAGGAATACAAATGTGATTGATTTATAACATAGGATATTCTTATAGCAGATTCCAAGACTTCACGTGGGAAGTCTTGACAGTGAAACACTATTTTCTATAAGTATACCCTTCTAGGGACTACTGGCTTCTGTGCTTGGCTCAGAGAGGGTTTGCCTGTGTTCATATGTTCCCTGAAAGACCAGTCCCCCAGTTTCCATACCATTCCCACTCAGGAACTCTTCCATGAACTCTTCAAGGGTTCCAGGATCCTTAAATAATCTCGAGAGCATGGAAAAATAGTAGAAGGAGATCAACACATCCTTGGGATTACGCAAGGTGTAGATAATCTGTGGCAGAGGTAAGAAAACTATTTAGGAAGGGTGACATCTCCTCTTTCTCTCTCACACACCAAATCTCGAACCATACTCATTTCCCCACCTCAGGAACATATTTTTTGGGGTTATTGTGAGCAGTGTTCCCTCTAAAATGAGTTAGTGTGAGCTAGCTCAGAGGTTTTTTTAGCATCCAGCACACACATTTTTGTCTCGGCTCAGGAAGGATGGCTCCAGAGTGAACTAATTTATGCAGCGGCCAAATCGCTTGCTCCCAACTTTAACGCCAGTAGCTCACAAAGTAGAATTTTTGCTCACAAGACTCCACAGCTTAGAGGGAGCCTTGGTTGTGAGGTATCAAAAATGAAAGTACTCCAAGTGCATTTTTTAAGCCTCTCTGGGAGTCTCAAAGCAGTGAATTCAACCATGGTGCTTTTCAGTATCATGTCAAATATATGAAGAAATAGGTATCCAGCCCTCGCTGGGATCCTTGCTGTTTCATGCTGAAATTCTCCTGCCCACTCCCAGTATAATCTGGACAGCTGACCCTGGGGGTAGTTAGAGCTGAAACAAATCTGTTGGAGGAAATCCCCATCTCCTCCCAGCTCTTCCTTATTTGCAAAAACAAAGTTAATATTTGTCACAAGTGGGGGGGGGGGGACCCGCAAGTAACAAAAAGGGGAGGGAAAAATCCTACCCCCTTTGCTGAGCTCCCTTCTTGCGTTTATTCCTCCCTGTCTCTCCCATTTCCTTCTTCTCATATGCTGCCTCCCTCCCATTGCTGTTCCGCTTCTGCCATTCCCACTTTTGGTTTTGCCGCCGCTGCTGCTGCTGCTACTGCAATTTCTTTCTCTGCCATATGCTACTATACGCTAAAGGATTACTTATTGGCAGGGCTTTTTATTATTATTATTTAAAGAAGTGCCAGAATTCTCAAGAGGGGAAATGAAGTTTTCGATCTGTATACTGAAAGCTCCTGATTTTAAAAACATTTTGAAAAGAATTTTGTCAAAGTTCCGTCCCAGCACTGTCCCCCAGAAAAAAAGCCCTGTATTATCGGGTTTGCTGTACAGCCTCCAAAATGGTAGCTGAAATTTTGCAGCATAGGATCATCAGATGGGGTCATTTCATAGAAAAAGAGGGGCAGGAACTCATTCGTATAACTCATTAGCATAACTAGTTTGCATATGCCACACCCCCTGACATCACCAGAAGTGTGTCAGAAGGCAACACCCACCGCTCAGGCTCCACTGGGCTGTTTTGGATTGCTAGCTATTGGGGGGGGGGGAGTGTAGATCTGTCCTGGCATAGGAGGGAGAGCTTGTACCTGAATAAAACTTGGTCTTAAAGGTGCCACTGGGCTGTTTTGGACTGGGGAGTTGGGGGGGCAGCTCTGCAACTTACCTGGCTGCTTCTTGCTCTGACTGAGGGCTGCTGGGAGCAGGGGGTGGGGCTTGTTGCATGTGCCCGCCCCCTGGGCGCTTTACTGTCGGAGCTCCGCTCCTGTGCGCTCCTGCAGGAAATGACCCCTGATCAGAGGTCATTTCGGGGGGGAACGCGGGGGAACGCAGTTCCCCCGGGTGAGGTACGGGGGGCGGGGCACATGACGAAGCCCCACCCCCTGCTTCCGGCCGCCCCGCTTCCGGACCTCATTCAGCCAGGAGGAGGCAGGAGAAGAGGGAGGGTAAGTTGCTTCCTCCTCTCCCCACCCCTGCCTGCCTGGGGCCAGGGAGGGCCTTCGTGGGGCTTCCTTGCCCTCCCGCCGGCCTTGCAGGTCCACCGCCGGGCCCCTCATGGGGCTCGGCAGTGGAGCTGCAAGGCCGGCACCGGCGGCCGGGACAATTGGGGGCGGGGTGTGTGGCCTTATGACACATTTCCGGTGATGTCAGGAGGTGTGGCCTTATGACACACTTCCGGTGATGTCAGGGGGTGTGGCATATGCTAATGAGTTATGCTAATGAGTTCCCCTAGCTCTTTTTCTACGAAATGACCCCTGCCCCTGATCATCAGATTGTGTGTGTGTGGGTGGGGGGGTTGCTGTAATAAATTGTGCAGTTTTTGTTTTGTTTTATTTATTTTTTAAAAAACCTTCACCTCTGTTTTTCTTTTTTAGATCCCCCCCCTTGCAAATGTAGACGTTTCCCCTTGGTTGACAGAATAAAGCCCCCTAAAATATACACGGGCCCACTGTATGGAATGCTTGATATAAAGGGTGTGTGTGTGCTGTGATACCATTGATATTTTTTTTGTTATTTTTTTGGTATTTTGTGTGTGTGCGTGTGCATATGTGTGTGTGTCTGCACCTGGAAATCAGGTTGACCCCTGGTGACTGACCCCTACTGGGGGCCTGGAGGATATTCAGAGAGGTGGCTGAATAGAGCCTGCCCCTGCCTCCCGACTGCTGGTATCTTGAGGAGGTCTCCCATCCAAGTACTTGCCAGCATTGACCCTGCTTAGCTTCTGAAATCTGACAAGATCAGGCTTGCCTGGGCTATCCAGGTCAGGGCCTGTGATGCCATTGATGATGACCCCCAATGACCACAGGACCCTCCCTTATAGTAAAAAGCCCAGTAGCACCTTTAAGACTTACAAACTTTATCTAGGGCTGCCAAATCCCCCCGGGGGGCAGATTTCCCCCCGCTTTGGAGGCCCGATTTCCGCCCCCGCGGAATCGGGCCCCGAGGGAAACCCCACCCCCGCGTGCACGTCACTTCCCTGTGACGTCATGACGCCGGGCACGCTGGGGGCTGTGTTTTCCCCTCAAATGGCTGTGCCCCGCCCCCAGCGTGCCCAGCGTCATGACATCACAAGGAAGTTATGTGCATGCGGCGCACGTGCGTGCTTTGCGCGCGCACACACACTGAGAGCGAACCCAAAGTCCCCCGCCGGCAGATAAGTCCAGGCTTGGCAACCCTGACTTTATCATAGCATAAGCTTTTGAGAAACACAGCTCTCTTCGTCAGATGCATCTGAAAAAGAGAACTGTGTTTCTCAAAAGCTTATGCTACAAGAAAGTTTGTTAGTCTTAAAGGTGCCACTGGGCTTTTTACTATTTTGTAGCAACAGACTAAGACGGCTAACTCCTCTGGATCTAGGACCTTCCCTTGAAAATCCTGATTCTTTAAGGCACATGTGTAAGAAAAGAAACTAACTCCACAACTGTGAGAATTCAGAGGGAGGGCAGACATGTGGGAGAATGTCAGCTATGCTGCCATATTGTTTATTAGCCTAGAGTTTGCCTGCCTGACCTGTGTACAAGTTGGTGCCACATTCCTTCCATCTCGCTTCTCCCCTTGTTATCTCTGACCTTGTATTCATGCCTGTGTAGTGTCTCCACTTTAATTAACCGTGAGACTAGTTTCCTTTCTCAGCCTTGGATTGGTTGGGTCATCGGTCTTTCCCGCCCATGGGAAACGGGGCGATTGGCCCACAGGTGGTGGTGGGGAACCTCTTGAATCTTCTATATCATTGTATGCTTGTTCCTTGCTCGTCATTCCTAACAGTGACCATGTTATTGCAACCATAGTACTAACAATAAAGCAAAATCTTTCTTGGAAGCATGTGCTCCGTTGTTTGACTGTGGGTCCTGACAAAAAACCCAGCCCAAACCGATTCCAACGCTTGTGGATCGACTGCCAAGAAAATCAGGAGTAAGTCAAGTGTGTCCCAGGTCAGCTGTGCACTCCGGAGAGCCTCTCTGTGTGTGGAATGGGCTCAGGTCAAATTGCTCATTGCTTACCTTGGCATTGGATTGCAGGAAGGACTTTGGGAAAAGCTGAAACTGGACGTGACTACATAATACCCTGGGTGGAGGACTTCTCAAGGCTATCTTCAAGCCTAGGCTGGTCTCAATCCAAGGACTCCGGTCCCACATGGGTAAACTGTGTGTCCATGCAGGGTCCCCTTTCTGCCTGATCAAGCCCAAGATTTCTGACATCCAAATGGTACCTAGGAGAGAGTCCACCAGTCATGAGATTGCCTCTTCTTTCCAAGCTGACTTCTTCCTGTTGGGTATACTCCTCACCAGTGTTCCCTCTAAGCTGAGTCAGTGCGAGCCAGCTCACAGCTCCTTAACCTCCAGCTCACACACCTTTGTCTTAGCTCAGGAAGGATGGCTCCAGAGCAAACTAATTTATGGAGTACCCAAATCGCTCACTCACATCTTTAATGCCAGTAGCTCACAAAACAGAATTTTTGCTCACAAGACTCCACAGCTTAGAGGGAACATTGCTCCTTGCCCATGCAGTGATAGAAACATGAGAACTGGATCATATAGTTGGAACAACTAGATAGTCTAGCAACATGATTCCCTGGATTTAAAGCCTGTTCACTATGCAGAAGTCACTCGGAATCAATCCTTTCTCTGAGAATGGGCAAGGTTTTAACCCCCCCCCCCGTGGGAAAGTGTTAGCTGACAAACGGAAGGTCCGCGTGTAAGCTCGAAAGCGGAGAGAGAGCTACACAGCTTCAAAGAAAAGCCTGCAATGGGCCATTCCAGGCAGACGGTGGCAGTGGTGCGCTGCGACCGAGAAAATGCTGACGACATCAAGCAACGCCGACTAAAGAATGCTGCCAGGACATGTCTGATTCTTACAGCTGACCAAACTCCCTGTCGACTGCGAAGTGTGTGTGATTTTAAAATGATATATGTTGTCCTCCCTTACCCCCATCATTGTTAGTCCCATGTCTACACATGAGTAACTGTAAATCGCTCAGAGCCGGCAGCTCTGCAAGGACTGAGCGATCAATAAATTGAAAGATTATTATTATTTCGCAAGGTGGCAAAACTCTGCATGTCAATACTGTTGAGGTCACCACATCTTGGAACACCATTGCAAATTGTCCCAAGGAAGTGAGTTAAAAAACCTCAGCAATCTTTGCTTGTTTTTGCCACCCCACTCCCCAATAATTTGTTCCCCAATGTTTAGAATGTGGGAGGAGATGAGTGAAATCTCTGTAAGAACTGTGGTTGGTTCCCTTTACAATTTACCAATATTTATCTTGTTCTGTCTCCAATGTAGTTTATTGTCCCATTAGAAGGGATTTCTTACACCAACCAGTGCTACAGAGTAGAATCAAACATCTTATGTCTTGGAAGGCTACAAAGCATATAATGCACTGTGAATCAAAACAGAAGGGTGGTGATGTGGAATCTCCTACAGATTATGGATTCTGGACAATGCCTCTGAATATTTCCCCCTGATTAATCAAAACTTCATTTCCTATGTAAATAGTGAGATGGATCCAGACAGGATTTCCCATCAGTGGAATAGAACTTTCCTGCCTCCCTTCCCACTTCAGACCACTATTGTCCAAAAAGGAGGAGGAGGAGGACAGGAGGAGGAGGAGATTGGATTTATACCCTGCCCTTCACTACCCGAAGGAGTCTCAGAGCGCTTTACAATCTCCTTTCCCTTCCCTGCCCCTCCCCAGAACAGACACCCTGTGAGGTAGGTGGGGCTGAGAGAGCTCTCTAGAGAACTGCTGGTGAGAGAACATCTCTGAAAGGACTTGTGACTGACCCAAGGTCACACCAGCTGCTGCATGTGGAGGTGTGGGGAATCCAACCTGGCTCTCCCAGATTAGAGTCCGTGCTCCTAACAGCCACACCAAACTGAAATATTGGCTCCTGGGGGGATAGGAACCCTGATGAATGATGTGGGGGGGGGATGGGTTCTGCAGTGGAAAGGGGAAAACCACTGAGTTTGCCAGTTGTGTCCCGATCCAGCCCAATATGCAGGTCTTATAAAATGCATATATCAAGACATTCATAAATTACACCCAGTGAATGTGACAACAATTATTCCATGGAGTTTCAGGCATGCTTTCCTGATACCCTTCTTGGAGTAATTTCACTAGGGAAATGTGAACTCTGCCCATCAGAGGTAATTTTGCAATCATTAACAAGTCCAGAGAAGCCCATGGCACAAGTAAACAAATCCTAACATTATTTCATGAAAAGGTCAACAGTTAGCACTGCTGTTCCTCACCCAGTAACTTTATAAATGCAACTTCAGTAGACAGTGATTGCCTTTCGCTACGTGAGCATCACAAGCAATTACCATTCCATTCACTTTTGTTCCTACCTGATTTGGGGTAAGTGACAATAGCTACATCATCATTCAGAAACCGGAATTCATTTTCCATTTGATCAAGAGATTCCTCCGTAACAGCCACGTGGGGGAATGGGACTCCTTTGTAGCTTAAATATTCCACTGATGGCATTGTAAAACTGGAAAGAGACAGAGACCAAGAAGGAAAAATTATGAGGATGCATCTGGGCGGTTTTTCCTAAGTTTTAATTGTTATTATTTTTTGTTGTTGTTGTTCAGTCGCCCAGTCGAGTCCGACTCTTCGCGACCCCATGGATCATCTCCCGCCAGGCCCTCCTGTCTTCTGCCGTCCTCTGAAGTTGGCTCAATTTCATGTTCGTTGCATCGATGACACTGTCTAACCATCTCATCCTTTGCCGTCCCCGTCTTCTTTGACCTTCAATCTTTCCCAGCATCAGGGTCTTCTCCAGGGAGTGCTCCCTTCTCATTTGGTGGCCAAAGTATTTGAGCTTCAGTTTCATTATCTGGCCTTCCAGGGAACAGTCAGGGTTGATTTCTTTTAGGATTGACTGATTTGATCTTTTTGCAGTCCAAGGGACTCTCAAGAGTCTTCTCCAGCACCATAGTTCAAAAGAATCTATTCTTCGGCGCTCGGCCTTCCTTATAGTCCAACTCTCGCAGCCATACATGACTACTGGGAATACCATTGCTTTGACCATGCGGACTTTTGTTGGCAGGGTGATGTCTCTACTTTTTATCATGCTATTTAGGTTCGCCATCGCTTTCCTCCCAAGGAGCAGGCGTCTTTTACTCTGGTTTGATTAGAGTTTGGGGCTACCAATTTGTTTCTATGCATATCTCGGAATATCGGGTAGGATCCAACCAACTTTGCCGCTGATAAAAATGTTGGCACAAAAGGGATTCAATATCCCTGCAAGTAGATAAATAGGTACCCCTTCGGTGGGAAGGTAACAGTGTTCCGTGCGCCTCGGTGTTTAGTCATGCCGGCCACATGACCACGGAAACGTCTTCGGACAGCGCTGGCTCTTTGGCTTGGAAACGGAGAAGAGCACCGCAACCATAGAGTCAGATTCGACTGGCTTTCGAGCAAGGGAAACCTTTACCTTTACCTATGGTCCTTAACATTTAAAATTTTATATGTTGTGGTTTTAATTCAATTTTCTGCATTTTAACATATCTTGTTGTTTAAAATATACATACATATATACATATATATATATATTTTCTGTAAGCCACCCTGAGCCTGCTACGGTGGAGAGGGAGGGATACAAATTAAACAAATAATAAATAATAATAATAAACCAGTGAGGGCTGACCGATGGCAGGAGGAAGTTCTTCAGAGCCAGTTTGGTGTAGTGGTTAGGAGTGTGGACTCTAATCTGGGAGAACCGGGTTTGATTCCCCACTCCTCCACATGCAGCCACTGGTGTGACCTTGGGTCAGTTACAAGTTCTTTCTGAGCTGTTCTCTCAAGAGCAGTTCTCTCAGAGCTCGCTCAGCCCCACCTACCTCACAGGGTGTCTGTTGTGGGGAGGGGAAGGGAAAGGAGATTGTAAGCCGCTCTGAGACTCCTTTGGGTAGTGAAGGGTGAGGTATAAATCCAGTCTCCTCCTCCTCCTCCATTATGCCCCTAAGGTGGCTGATTCCGTCATTCTGTTCTGCTGCAACATTTTATTCCACTTTTGTGCCCAAACTGGTGTGGCTTTTAAAAATAATTTTTGCAGTTGTACAATGTCCTGTAATCATCCACTTTCCAGGGAGTCATCTCCACTGTACAGGTTAGCCTGACTTCTGAATAAATATGTATAAGATTGAGCTTTAACATCATCCTGGAATCAAAGCGATGTGTGAGTTGCAATTAACTCCAGTTCCCTTTCTCCCCATTGGGACTGAAACACAAGTCACTTGAAAACACATGAAAAACTGCTTTAGATTGAGTCACACCCTCTGTCTATCATGAGCAGTATTGCCGGCTTTGAAATGCAGGAGCTCCCCCGGGGTCTTTCACATCACCTTATACCTGAACCTGAATCTGGAGATGCCAGGAATTGAACTGGGGACCTTCAGCATGCAAAGTGGATGCTCCGCCACTGAGCCACGGCCTCTCCTCTTAGCAAGAGCCCCACAGAACTGCCTTGTACAGTGTCACACTACTGGTTTATCAAAGTCAGTTTTGTCAACTGCCAGTTTGGTGTAGTGGTGAGGAGTGTGGACTCTAATCTGGGAGAAGCGGGTTGGATTCCCCACTTCTCCCCATGCAGCTGCTGGTGTGACCGTGGGTCAGTCACAAGTCCTTTCAAAGCTGTTCTCTCATGAGCAGTTCTCGAGAGAGCTCTCTCAGCCCCACCTACCTCACAGGGTAGGTGTGGGGAAGGGAAGGGGAAAGGGACTGTAAGCTGCTCTGAGACTCCTTCGGGTAGAGAACGGTGGGGCAAAAATCCAATCTCCTCCTCCTCCTTTTAAACTGGAGATGCCAGGGGTTGACTGTACTCCTCAGCCTTATCCCCTCTAGCTTCTGATAAGGGTCAACAATTATAAAATGAGGGGAGGAGATTGGTGCAAATGAAAAGATAGTGAAATCACATTTCCCCCCTCCCCGTGATGCACACCACGCACACCTCACACCATTCCTTTCGAATTAGGAATCAGGAAACGGTTCCCCACAGGTTCGACTGCAGCCGGATCAAATTTTCACTCAATCTGCTTTTCAGTCGGGCTAACCTGTACAGTGGAGATTACTCCCTGGAAACTATCCTGGGCGGTGGAGAATGCTCCCTAGAAAGTGGATGATTATCGGACATCGTACGTCTGCAAAAATAATTTTTAAAAGCTTCTTTCCGAAATGAAGTCTCTTTTTGTTATCTAGAGGGCATCACCCGGGTTTTATGGAAGGCTGGGTATAATACAAAGCAACTCTGTTAAATAGAGGGCATCCAACTGTCCCAAATCTCATAATAAATGTGTAACATTAACCCCCCCAAACTGATTCCCCCACTCACCTGGAATTCGACATGTCCCTCTTTTCCCTTTCCAAAGGCTTCTGATCTTTGTTTCTTTTCCCACTTAGCCTCTGTGCTGTCAGCCAGGGGAGGGGGAATAGGTTGGGAAATACCTGGAGATTTGGAGGGGTGGAGCCTGGGGAGGACTAGGTTTGGGGAGGGGAGAGACCTCATCAGGGTACAGTGCCATAGAGTCCACTGTCCACTGGAGATTGTTTGTAATACTGGGAGATCTCCAGACTCCAATGGGGTGCTGACAGCTCGAGGCATAAAAGCAGTCGATACTGGACCAGAATAAATTCTGTTAAGAACATAAGAGAAGCCAGTGTTGGATCAGGCCAATGGCCCATCCAGTCCAACACTCTGTGTCACACACTGGCCAAAAATACCAGGTGCCATCAGGAGGTCCATCAGTGGGGCCAGGACACTAGAAGCCCTCCTACTGTTGACCCCCCTCCTCCAAGCACCAAGAATACAGAGCATCACTTGCCCCAGCCCGAGAGTTCCTATTTATACCTTGTGACTAATAGCCACTGATGGACCTCTGCTCCATATGCTTATCTAATTCCCTCTTGAAGCTGACCATGCTTGTAGCCGCCACCACCTCCTGTGGCAGTGAATTCCATGTGTGGATCACTCTTTGGGTGAAGAAGTGCTTCCTTTTATCTGTTCTAACCTGCTGCTCAGCAATTTCATTGAGAGCCCACAAGTTCTTGTTGTTTAGTCGTGGGGGATAAACATGTGTATCAAATAAAAATGGGGGGGGAAGGGTCTTGCTAAAACAGGGTAAATTACCCATTGCCATGGTTAGAAATTGGAAGCAAAACAGCACAGACGTCAATGGACCGTCTTGCAGGTGATAACATTCTCAGCTATAAGTTCCTGCCAGCAGTATCTCATCGTCCAGCAAATGTTCCATGTCCCTTTCCATGTCCGCTGGTTTAAGCAGTTTGTATCATCCCTCAAGCGAATGCAACGAAATCCAAGCCCAAAGCCGGAACAACACTTTACAATTTTGTAAGTCTGCCTTGACCTGACTCTGATCCAGGCAGGCAAACAGCAGGAGCAGAGCAACTCATTTTTCAAATGTTTGGGGGCCCTTCAACTGTGACATGGGGAGGAAAGACTCTGCCCCACAATGTTTTCCAACCTGAAATAGCATGGGAGAGTGCTATTTGCCCCAGTGCGGGGCTGTGCATGTACTGATGGCCTACATAAGAAGAAGAGATTGGATTCATACCCTGCCCTCCACGATCCGAAGGAGTCTTGGAGTGGTTTACAATCCCTTTGCATTCCCCTCCCCACAACAGACACCCTGTGAGGCAGGGTGGGGCTGAGAGAGCTCTTTTGAGAACTGCCCTCGAGAGAACAGCTCTGAGAGAACTTGTAACTGACCCAAGGTCATCCAGCAGCTGCAAGTGGAGGAGTGGGGAAATCAAACCCGGTTCCCCCAGATTAGAGTCCGTGCTTTTAACCACTACACCAAACTGGCTAATCTCTCCCCTGGACCATATTAATTGAGGGAAATAGCACAGCAGGGAAGACTGAAGCACCTCCCCCCACACACCGTGGTCCCAGCCAGTGTTCCCTCTAAGCTGAGTTAGTGTGAGCTAGCTCACCGTTTTTTAGCCTCCAGCTCACACATTTTTGTCTCAGCTCAGGAAGGAGGGCTCCAGAGCAAACTGATTTATGTAGTAGCCGAATCGCTTGCTCACAACTTTAATGCCAGTAGCTCACAAAGTAGAATTTTTGCTCACAGGACTCCACGGCTTTGAGGGAACATTGGAGTGCTAACAATCATCCTGGGCACTTGAAAAATAAGGTCCTCTGGTGCTCCATTCCAGCTCTTCTTTCCCCCTCCTTTGGGGGTGTGGCTACAGGCAGCCAGCCTCCCTCCAGCCCAGACCCTGGGACAGCTGCCCGTCAAGCTCCATGGCTAAGACCACCCATGCCTTCAAGCTTTGGTGGTGTAGATACTGGCATCAGCTTCGCAGGTGGATGTTTTAGCGTCAATGTCACCCTTCTCTATGGAGTCTTCCCTCATACACAGGTCTTTGCATTCTCCCCCTTTCCACTGATTTTATAATATTCATTGGGGCAGGCGAGAAATGGAGACCGCAGAACTATTAGCTTGGTTTCTTGGCTGCTGGCTGGAGAGCCAGTTTGGTGTCGTGGTGAGGAGCGCGGACTCTGATCTAAACTTTTCCGCCCTGGCCCCAGCCTGCAGGAGCTCTCTGCCGAATGACATCTGTGCCCCGTCTGACTTATCAAAGTTTCACAGGGCCTGTAAGGCAGTGATGTTCCGCCAGGCCTTTGGTTGGGGCCGATGACGGCTCCTGACATCTGCCTGGCACCCTTCCCTCCCCCCATGACTGAATGCTTGCACTGCCACCTTGCTTTAAAATGCCTTTCAATATCCAGATGTTTTGAATGTGTTTAATACTGACCTTAATAGTTTTAATTGACTTTAGGATGCACTGAGTTAATTATATACCGCCCTGAGCCTTGTGCAAGCAGGGAAGGGCAGTTAAGAAATCTAACAATAAATAAATAGTAAATAAATAAATAACCTGGGAGAACCTGGATTGATTCCCCACTCCTCCACATTCAGCTGCTGGTGTGACCTTGGGTCAGTCACAAGCTGTTCCAGAGCTGTTCTCTTGAGAAGTCCTCGGGAGAGCTCTCTCAGCCCCACCTACCTCACGGGGTGTCTGTTGTGGGGAGGGGAAAGGAGAGGAGATTGTAAGCTGCTCTGAGACTCCTTCCGGTAGTGAAGGGCGGGGTATAATTCCAATCTCCTCCTCCTCCTCAACCAAGCAGTGGGTATTTACATGGGAAATCCTCAAAAGGACCCACATTTATACCTTCCCACCCCTCCTGATTGTGAACACCCAAGGAAAGGTCTCCCCAGGGCTCTCTCTGGAAATGACAGCTGCAGTTACAGGACTCTATGGAATGGCTTAATAACAAGCCAGTGACACCAAAGTCACAGGGAAACTTCACCTTGGGCAGACTCCCCCCCCCGTCAGACACTGGACACAAGGCAAGCTTTCCCCTATGCTCGCAGACCCCCCCCAGGTCCCCAAAGGCAGGTTCCGAAGGACAGAAAGGCAGACCAGAGCCTGAACCAGCCTCTGAATCAGAGGGATAACTTGCCGCAGGCTGGCCGTATGGGCTCAGAGGATATCAGTGGTGTCCTGGAAGGGCTTGAGGACATGCAGCATTTGGGAGAGGGCCAGCCAGTCATTGGAGCCGATGCTGGACTCCTCTTCCCCCTGTAGGATGGTTATGGAGGAGATATCTTGCACCACACTCTTCTGCTCCACCAGAGGTGCAATCAGCAGGTGCATAAGTCCAGGATAAGCCGGTGTTCGGGCTTCTTCTCCTCCCCTTGCCTCTTGTGCAGCAGGTAGGCAGGTGATGCTGTGTGAGCAGTGGCACCACCCCCTATAGATGGAAAGCCTGAACACTTGGACGTGACGTCATCAAAGGTAGTCATAACACTTGCTGAACTCTGCAGTTGCAGCTACTTTCACAAGTGTTTTAACTTGCAGTTCCTCGTGTACTCAACAAGATATTCTCTTGATTTTTTCACTGCAGTATTCCAGATTCTTCACACTAGCTTACAGTGTTACTGAGTTCAGTTTCCCTTGCATATTTGAGTGTATGTTTCATATAATTTACAAGCATATAATAGGGGAAACTGGTGGATGTCTGTTGTATGATGGTATTGTCAAATAATA